GCCGTGTTACTGCTAGTTATGTTTTTACGCCAAATTCTATTACTATTTCTAGGATTGCAAGTGCAACGGGTACTATTACAATTGCTCCCACCCCGACCTGTGAGGACCTACCACGGCGTATTATGACCTACTACGACCTGCTTGTATCATGATGCAGACTATTTTCCAGTGCGGCTACTATTTTACTACAACTACTACGGCTATTACTTCCTACTATTTGTATTTCTATGACTACTGCGATTCTTCTTTTTACCACTACGACGAGGACTACCACTCCTACTATTATTTCTACTACTACTTCCACTATTATTATAGTTTTTTCTTTAAAAAACCTTCGTAGTATTAGTACTATTACTTTACTACCACTACGACTACGAGTATTTTTACACTTCACCACTACGTATTACAAATTTCAACTCACACTACTACCACCACTACTACTACTGCTACTACTACTGCTACTACTACTTCTACTACTAATACCTACTACTACTACCACTACTACTACTACTACTACTGCTACTACTACTACGACTACTACTACTACTAGTACCATTATTATACCTTCTACTACTACGACTGCTCCTACCACTCTTACTCCTACTACTACTACTACTACTACTACCACTACTACTGTTACTACTAGGTCTCCCATCACTACTACTATTACGACGACTGCTACTTCTACTACTACTACAACTACTACTACTACTACTACTACTACTACTATTACTACCACTACTACTACTACTACTACTACTACTACTACTACTACTACTACTACTACGACTACTACTACTACTACTACTACTACTACTGCGACTACTACTACGTTTACTACTACTAGAGTTAATGCGACTGTCGCCGCCACCGTCATTGCCATCACCATTGCTACTACGACTGCTGCTAGTACGACCACTGACTAATGCTTCCGCGTGTACTCGTAATAATGTGTTACTACTACTTTTACTACTACTCCTCCTACTAGTACTACTAGTACTACTACTACTACTACTACTACTACTACTACTACTACTACTACTACTACTACTACTACTATTGCTACTACTACCACTACGATTACTACTACTACTACTGCTACTTCTACTACTACTACTACTACTACTACTACTACTATTACTACTACTACTACTACTACTTTGAATACTACTACTACTACTATCACTTCTAGTTTTTCGAATAATATTACTACTACTACTACTACAAACACTTCTTATACTACTCGTACTACGACTACGACTACGACTACGACTACGACTACGACTACGACTACGACTACGACTACGACTACGACTACGACTACGACTACGACTACGACTACGACTACGACTACGACAACTACTACTACTACTACTACTACTACTACTACTACTACTACTACTACTACTACTACTACTACTACCACTAGTACTAGTACTGGTACTACTACTACTACTACTACTACTACTATTACTACTACTACTACTACTACTCTACTGCTACCACTTGCTTGGAGCACGCATCAGGATGGGTGCTGGTGTGGACGTTTTGTTCTGGGCAGAGTTGCCCAGAGGTGTGCAGCTAAAAGGATGTCTTTTCATCAGATTGAGGGGGCCGAGCGGCCATTCACTGTCCCTAGGCGCGTGGCTGAAGTGGGGTTCTGACTTGCGGGTTGTTGTTGCTGTTGTTTGTTGTTGTTTGTTGTCGTCGTTCCCCCCCCGACCCGGCCCGCGACCCGCCCGCGACCTGTCCCGCGACCCGCACGCGACCACCCCGCGACCCACCCCGCGACCCACCCCGCGACCCACCCGCCACCCACACGCGACCCACCCGCGACCGCGACCTGGCCCGCGACCCACCCGCGACCAGGCCCGCGACCCACCTCGCGACCCACTTGCGACCCACCTCGCGATCCACCCACATCGCTTTATCGAAATAATCGGCGCCTGCGGTTGGCTCGTCGTATAATTTGTGAAAATTCGGCGCCTGCGGCCTGCTTCATCAGAGCCTCGCAGACTGGCGACGTCCCCGCCGCTTCCGCACTCTGATTCGCGCTTGGGGGGCGCTACGCATCATTTTAATTTGGCAAGCCGTCGCGGGCCACAGTAACACTTTTCCGACCGCGCGCAGGCCACACAAACACGCACCTGGCCACACAGACACCCAACGGGTCACAATCACGCGGTGGCCTCTCGGGGCACCAGGGCCGTCAAACACGACCCGGGATGAAGAGCCGGCCCTGGGGAAAGTGCCAGGACTTCTGGGGGGCCCGTGTCGAAATAGTCAAGACCTTGCACGTGTCTGCGCCTGTGGGCTCCATCTGCTCCTTCGAACGCCAGGCGAGGGAGCCTGGGCCCCCGAAGTCGGTGGCCCATAGTGGGCCCCATCGTGGCCCCCCCTCGTGGCCCCCCACCGTGGCCGCCCCATCGTGGCCCTCCATGAGTGTCATTGTGCAGACTTGTGCAGTCCAGAGCCCCGAGTCACCATGGTTGAGGGCGATCAGGGATAGCTGCAGATCAACGCCTCGGGGGCCCTGGCCAGAGTTACCCTGGACCGCAGTTCTCCAGGATAACTCGGGGGCCCAACCTTCCCGAATCATCAGGGCTGGGGGCGGTCAGGGGTAACCGCAGGTTCGCGCCTCGGTGGCCAAAACCAGAGTTACACCGGACCGCAGTTATTCCGGATAAGTCGGGCGTCCAATTCCCAGACGTCCGACGTCCCGATTTTTTCGAGACACGGGCCTCGACCTCCAGACCACCTCCCCGGGACCTGTTTCTCATCCCGAGTCGTTCATCGACGGTCCCGAGGCCCGGCGAGGGTCTCGAGAGGCCAAAAATTGCGAAAAACCTCCGTCTCGATTTTTTCGAGACGCCCGATGTCTGGATTAGGGGAGTTCTTCTCGCCGCGTGGGGCTCCCGGGGGGATGCCGGCCCATGGCCACCAGGCCGGGCAGGCAGAGGACCCACCAAGACTTCCCGCGGCGTGGTTTTGTCAATGCGCAGCCCCTGAGATCCGACGTCCTGCCATACAATCGATTAGGCTTAAGAGTGACATTTCGCCGGAGTGACTTTTGGTGCGGTTCCAATGGAACCTCCGATCGCTGAATGCGATGCGATAGTAGCGTCTTGCGCGCTTGGGTTTGTCCCCCCCCGCGCGGTCCTCCCAAAGCCGCGCACCACAGGTCACTCTTACCTAGGGTCACTCTTGCGTGTAGTCGATACAAATGCAACGCCGCGAAAAATCACGACCGTAGCGGCCGACCTCATGTTTCTGCGGCATTTCTCAAGCCGTAGCGATCCGTGAGATTCCCAGGGCCCGAAGGTAGGCGAATCTGCACCGCCGCGATCCCCGCGCGCCACGCCTCTCTGCACCCCGAGCCGTGTTTTCCCATGGCCCTGGCCGCTGCAGTGGGCCTCTGGGAGGCGGAAGAGTGGAGGAACAGCGCACGCATCGAAGAGACCGCGGCGCAGGAGGTCGGAGCCCAGACGTGCTCCCTAAGGGCTTATCGACTTTTCGCCAATCGACTTGTGGGGACCGAGCCTGATAAATCCAGGTAAATGGCAGATACATCGAAATAACTCCCGGTGAATCCAGGTAAATCGAGAGAAATCCAGGTAATTCCAGGTAAATCCAGAGATCTCCAGGGAAAGTTGGAGCAACTCGCGGCCGCTCCAGCGCGAGTCGAAGGACGGCAGAAGTCGTTAAGCCTTTAACGACATGCAGCGCCCTGAAGGAATCGAGACCGGAGGGTCTTATCAATTTTGGGCCTTTCGGGGCCCTTTCCGGGCCCTGGGACCTGGGACCGTCGTCAAAATTCTTCGGGATGAAAGGTCGTCTCTGGGGAAATGGAACCCCCAGGATCCGAGGGAACGCTTCGCTACAGGATTCTGGTAAGAAAGACAAGCATACAACGTGCTGGACAAATCATGACGGAGGCCTTTCGCAAGTCTAGACCTCCCGAGATAAAACGACTCGGGGCTTCCGGGGAGCCCGCAGTGAACAAGTGCGGGCATCGCGCGTCTGGGGGCAGGTCGGCGCCCCCCGTGCTTTCGGGGCAGCGTCAGTGGGCGACGGGCTCGTGCAGCGGGGAACGCATCGACTCCCAATCGCCTATTCCTCGCAGCCCGGGGGCCCCCAAACGGGGTGGTGACCACACCGTGTGCTGAGTCGGTGGGGATTTGGAGTCGCCGCACGGTCTTGGGACTCGCGTCCTTCTCCGAGGATGTCTCGGGCGACAGGGGCCTCCAGGGTTCCAAGACCGTGCGGTGACGGACCGTGCGGTGAGGTCTGGGGGGATTTCGAGGTCACCGCACGGTCTGTCACCGCACCGTTTCGGGACTCCAAAAAGCCCACCCCGCCCATGAACGTACGGGGCCATCGACGATCTATCGGCGATGTATCGCCGATTCTAGGTCGATGTTCCCCTCCGAAGCAGGTCGCCGTCTTCCTTTCCCCCCCGCCCATACATCCGACAGAGTGTTTTGTCTCCTGGGGCCGGCTTTTCGTCTGCCCCTGTGCCTTTTCACAAGGGCGCTCGGAGGCCGAAACAGTGCGCGAAAGCCTCCCGCCGTGATTTCTCCACAGCGGGAGGAGCCCAGACATGCGATGTCTTGTTTTTTTCAATGAGGGACCCTCGGAAGTCTCGACCCTTTTTCCAGGGCCCGCTTTTCATCCCGGGTAATTTTGTTGACGGTCCCAGGGCCCGGAAAGGGCCCCCCGAGGCCCAACAGTGATAAGCATTTCAATCCTGATTATTTGAGGACGTGGCGTGTCTGGGAGCTTAGCTGCCCTGATATGCCCGTGATGGAACCCAACACGTACCGTGTTCAAACGTCGTGTCAACACGCTGCGTGTTGGCTCGGCACGTGTTGAGCAACGTTTCGGCGAATCTATCGCGCCAGACGTACGTTTTCAATCTCCGTGTTGAGCTCCGTGTCAACACGCTACGGGTTGCGTGTAGCGTTTTGGGGCAGCAGAGTCTGGGAGTTTTGGGCCCAGAGGCGCGCATATTCACGCCCATCGCCTCGGGCATGCTCTTCGACTACAGCTGCCGCTTCGCCCGCGCTCCCGGCGCGCTGCCCTACCTGTGCGCCGCCGGCTGCCTCCTGCTGCTGGCCCCGGTGCCCCTGTGGCTGCGGCGGGCGGCGCGGAAGGATTAGGCGGGGCGAGCAGAGCCTGAGCCCCTCGGGTCCTGAAAAAGTCACGACGGAAGGTTTTTCAGCTATTTTCGGCTTCTCGGGGCCCTTACTGGGCATCGGGATTTCAAATCACGACTCAGGATGAGGAGCCAGTCCCGCGAATGGGTCGAGACCTCTGGGGGTAGACGTTATGAAAAAAATCATGGCGTCGGGGGTCTGGGAAGCCAGGGCCCATCTTGATGCGATCGATTTGATTCGACTCAGAGGAGGGAGACCCAGACATGCAACGCCCTGAAGAATTCAGGACGGAGGTTTTTCTTAATTTTGGGCCTCTGGGGGCCTACCCGGGACCGCTACCCTTCCCTCGTCGCCACGGCCTCGAAATCCTGGTCAGAACGCGCCCCGAGAGAGAGGTCCGGGAGGTCCAGGGAGCAGCGGTATCGGTATCTTTCTGTATCCCCGTCGATGTCGTTTCCTGCCCGCCCGATTGATTCCGATGTTCCGTCGACCCGATGCGGCCTGATTCTTGCATGGCGCTTTTGTGCAGCCCGATCCGACGCACAGTCCGGTTCGATTCGGCTTCCCGATTCGATGCTGGCTGATCCGGAAGAGCCCAGATCCAGCGCCTCGAGAAATTCGAGGCGGTCGGTTCGTCGTCATGCCTCTGGAGACTGGTCTCGGGCTCTGGGGCAGCAAACAAAACAACGATCCCGGACAGAGAAGCGACCTGCGGAAGGGTCGTAAGGTCCAGGGGCTCACTCCTCGAACACAAATCTGTGCGTGGGATGCCTGCGAAGGAGGTCTACTGTATACTGGCGCGAGGGGGGTGGGTGGAGGCTCCCAAGAGCGAGCACTGTGCCCTTCGGCTCAGGAGGGGGCCGGAGGGGCCCCGAGAAGGCCTCCCAGAGGAGGCAGCAGGGGAGCCTCCCAGAGGCCCCCCCTCCTCCCGTCGCCCCACCTCCTCGCCCCACCTCCCCGCGAGTAGGGGATCGACTACAGAATAGATTCACCACAGAATGCAAATTTCCGCCCAATCCACGCAAAATACATAGGGTGTGTGTAGATATCACAACGTGCCACGCATTGTCGACAACAAGAACAATGTCGGGGTAAATCAGTTCTGTAGTCGATCCCGTACTCGAGACATCCGACGTGCATATTTTTCGTAACGCGGACCCCCCCCCAGAGGTCTGGACCCCTCCCGATCGGGGCCGGCTTCTCGTCCTGCGGTGGGGGCGTTCGTTAAGGAATGCGCCCAGGGGGCTTCAGGCCCTGGAGGATTCCTTATCTGATGAGGTCGGCAGTGATATCCACGGCCATTCCACGATTGGAGTTCCTCCGGCTTCCAGACCCTGGCTCCCTTACCCACTGGTTCCCTGGCCTCCAGAGGTCGCACGGGTTTGCGACGGCGGCCGAGGCCAGAGCCCGCGGGGCGGCGGTTCGCCTCGCGCGGGCGGAGGCGTCGGCCCGTGCGCGGGCCTAGTTTTGCACGTGGATTTACAAGGCCTCGGCCGCGAAGAGAGACCAAAAAGAAAACGCCCTCACCGTATGGGCCGCTGTTTTTGACGGCCCTGCATGGCCCGGCCAGGCTGCCTCTCGAGCCCAAACATGCACAAACACCTTCCGTCGGGATGTTTCGCAGCGAGGGGACGTATGGTCAGCGGCCTCTCGCCCTGCAAGGTTGCCTCAGAGCCCGAACATCGGCAAATCACCATCCGTCGTGATCTTTCGCAGCGAGGGAGGTATGGTCAGGATGCAACTCTGAGCGGTTCAATGCACCCGGACATCCTGGCATCACATTTTTTTTCGAGCTGGGCGTTTTCGCATCTTTTCGGGCCCCAGGACCTTCACAGGCCCCAGGACCCGTTTTCAATTTCCGCCTGCTTCCACTGAATCCCGCTGGCTCGGGCCCTCCTTAATCGGGTTGAGTAGCCCTCGATCATCCTTCTGAGGACCGCCTTCCCCGATTCCTCCGATATGAGTCTTGCAATCCACGGGCCAGTTTTCCGTCCCTGATTCGTTTCTGATGGCCACGGGGCCCGATGGCGGGCTCCGCCGAGATAGAGGAATAACCGGATCCTTGAGATCCGACGTAGCGAACAAAATTGGAACATAGTGAAAATCACGTCAGGAGCACCGGACACCATCTTTCTGCGCCGCTTTTCGAGCTGGATCGATCCGTGCGGGCCACCGGCCCGAAGCAAGGTAAAATCGCCCGTTGCGGAAAAATAAGTTCCAGGGAACGTCCGGAATTGAAAACACATTCGTCGGTGATCTGGGTGTGGGCCGTCCCTGAGATTGACGTCGCGATAGCAAATGCAACATCGTTGTGAAACAACTCGGCCGGAACCCGGGCCCCATTTTTCTACGCCATTTTCGAGCCGGTGGGCGATGGGCGAAATCGCCCGTTGCGAACAAAAACGACGCCAGGGTCTCAGTTTTGAATATGATATCCCAGCAAAGCACCGTAAGAGCAGCAAAGGTGAAGAGGCGGGTCGAGGAGCAGGACGTCGAGGGCCATGCGCACCTTGTTTTTTTTGTTCCTGAGATCGTGGCCGGCCGGGCCAAACCTGCTGCCATCCGGGCCACAATTGCTACCAGCATTGAGGCGAGAGCACGATTCCTGAGTACATTGCAGGGAAGGCTTCCGCGAAACGGCTGCAGGTCCAGCTGCCGCACCGGGCGGTCCAGGGCTCCCCGCCTCCCCTGCGGGATTCTCTGCGGCCCTTTTCCTAGACATGCGATGTCTTGACTTCTCAGTGCGGGCCCCCCAGGAGTCCCGAGTCGTTTTTCATTTCGGGAGGTCTAGACTTGAGACAAGCCTTCGTCATGATTTTTCCAGCACGTTGCATGCTTGTTTTTGTGCCAGAATCCGGTAGCGAAGCGTTCCCTCAGATCCTGGCGCTTGCAGTTTGTTCATGCACAGCGTGCCGCCGTAGTGTCAGGCCACGGGGCCGTCACTGATCGAGACAACGGACGCAGAGAGATGGGGTCCAGGGCTCGGCTGTTGAACTTCTTGCGAAGTTGGATTTTTTGGCAGCGTCAGATCTGAGGGCTATTCGGGGATCGCAGTCGTCGGCGATATTCGGCGATCGGCGTTATAGGTCGCGCGTGCAGGAATCTTACAGCCTAGTTATGTAAAAGAAGCTCCGTGGTGGACGTTTTCTGGCCAGGGCGTCGTCTTTTTTTGTTTTTTTTGTTTTTTCCGTTTTTGACGGTCGCAGGGCTGGCGAGGGCCCCCAAAGTTGCCCGTCGTCTTTTTGTTCACGACGCCATCATGTCTGGGCAGTGCCAATCTCTGAGATCCTATGCAGCGAAACATCGCAACATTTTCAGGAATTGCGCCCAGAGCCCTGGGCACCATCCTGCTGCGTCACTTTTCGAGCCAGATCGTTCTGCGAGGGTCCCTGGGTCCGAGACAAGGCGACAGGATCGCCAGGATTAGTCCTTGCTGGGTCCCTCCCCAGACATCCGCCGATATGACTTTTTGAATCCGCGGCCCCAGAGGTCCCGACCCCTTCCGCAGGGTGTTTTTTCGTCCCGGATTCGTTTTTGATGGACCTTGGGCCCGATAACGGGCGCCCTGGGGACCGAAATCCAGGAACGACCGCTGGATTGAACACATCAGATTCTCGGCTCTCCGGCGGAGACCTGGGAACCGTACTCCAGAGGTCTCGATCCATTCCCCGGGACCGGCTTCTCATCCTGCGTCGTTTTTTGACAATCCCGAGGCCCAGTAAGGGCCCCCAGAGGCCGAAAGTGGCAAAAACCTTCCCGTCGTGATCTTCTTGCGACGCGAGGGCGGAAACCTTCCCGTCGTGATCTTTTTGCGACCCGCGGGCGTCCCGTGCGCGGCCCGCCAGCAGGCCGGCCCGCGGCGGGCGGCGCCGCGGGCGGGCGGGGCGGCCGCTTGAGGGGAGCGGCGGGGCCGCCCGGGGGGGCCACGGCGCCGCGGCGGAGCGCGGCCCCGCGGCGGCCTCCAGGAGCTCGAGCTCCAGGAGCTCGGGGTCCTCCCTCCTCCTCCTCCTCCTCCTCCTCCGCCTCCTCCTTCTCCCTCCTCCACCACCTCCTCCTCCTCCTCCTCCTCCTCCTCCGGTCGGGTGGGAGCCCAGAGATCCGATGATACGCCCACGGCACGCAGAGGGCATGCCCCAGACCCCCTCGGGCCATGAAGAAGGCACGACGGAAGGTTTTCCGTTATTTAAAGACATGGCTCAGGATGAGAAGCCCGTGCCTCTTAGGGTCTGGTTCCCAGGTGTCCCCAGAGATCCGAGGATGTGATCTTTTCAGTCCGGCGGTTTTTCTTCCTGGACTTCGGCCTCTGGGGCCCGTCATCGGGCCCGCGGGGACCATCGACGAGGGATCCGGGACGAAAAGCCACCCTTGCGGAAAGGGTCTCTGGGCTTCTGGGGCCGCGGATTCAAAAAGTCAGGTCAGCGGTGGTCTGGGAGTGGCGGCGAATTGTCCATCCCAGGCCGGGGTTCCCAGTTTTCTCTGAGGGTGTGATTCTGTCAACCGGCGAATTTGCCTCGTGTGGGGCCTCTGGTGCCCTCTATCGGGCCCCAGGGCCGTCAAAAGTGGGCCTGGGGGCGAAAACTGGCCCCGGGGATGGGGTCGTACTCGGGCCGGGGGATGTATCCATGTCCACCGCCTGCCAGAGTCCCAGCAGATCGATCCCACAGGCGTTGGTGATGGACAAAGCCCTGCCTCGCAGCAGGGGAGGTGGGCCTCGCTGCGAGTTTTATTCGGCCGGTCGAGAGAAGAGCTGGCGCAGCCCTGCGCGCGCAGCAGAGGCGGGGCAACGGGATTTGGAGGCGTCCCAAAGGGGTCCGAGCAGATGGGGTCAGAGGAACGCGCCGAGGTCGCCGATGCATCGGCGACGTCGGCGTGGAGAAAATCGTGATCCACATCGAGCCGTTTCCCCGATGCATCGGCGATGCGGCGCCCTGGCCCAGGGTGTCCCCAGGATTTGTGGGCACTCCAGAGCTGTTGTGCGTTTCATCCCGGATGGCTTTGTAACGGCCCCGAGGCCCGAACCAGGCCTTGGGGTCCAAAACTTGGGAGACAGTGGCAGTCCCGATCCTGTCGTGACGAAGGCTGTCTGGGTCTCCTGTGCTCCCTGGGGGTCCCCGAGAGGTCCCTGGAGGCGTTTCTCGGCCCGGCAGGCCTCCGCCAGAGGCCTCAAGGACACCCCCTTAGGACGGGTCAACTACACAGCGGTTGAGCTCACCTTTCGCCACGGCTCCGCCGTTCGGCGACAGTGGTGGTCACCACGGATTCGGCTTCTGAGACGCTGGGCCCCCTTCCCCTCCCCCTCCCCCTCCTCCTGGCCTGGGCCCTCCCATCTGGCATCCGACGCCGCGAGGAAAGGGCCAGACAGGACGCCGCGGGCCTGGGCGAGAGCTGCATGCACACGTGGCCGGGGTGTGCTTCTGGCGCTCGGCCCTCCTGTGGAAGTGTGCGCTGGGCCTCCGCGTGTGTCTCCAGCGCGGGGGCCCCGGATGTCCCACATGTGGATCCAGCCACGTTTTTTTTCCCTGGCTTCCTGGTATAGCATCGTGGAGCACATCACGGCCGGAACCCTCCAAGCCGTGCTCCTGCTGCACCTCTCGAGCTGGACATCGGCGCTTGAAAGGGCCTGGGGTCCCGAGAGAGCCAAGCGAAGACGACGCACGGCGTGAGGACATTCTGCGACGCCCGGGTCTCGGAGTCCTCCTGCTCCACTCGGTACGATCGAAGCCCAGACATGACGTCGTCCTTCACAAAACCACGACGGACAGTTTTTTTCTATTTTCGGCCTCCTCGCTGGGCCCCGTGACCGTCAAAAAACGACTCAGGATGGAAAGAAGGTCCTGGGGACAGGGTCGGCACGTCGGGAGGCCCGTATGTAAACAAAAACTCAGGGCGTTGCATGTCTGGGAATGGATACGTGCAGAATGGGTACTAAGTCGGGCATGTCCCTCTACGGGAGGAAAATTCAAACATAGTTTAAAACATAGGCTACTGACGATTTGGCGACTACTTTGAAATATTTCTGGCATTTTTGGTGTATTTTTGATTTTTCCTCCAAAATCCGCCTGTAGGAGGACATGCCCGACCTAAAATCGGAACGGTCGCCGCGGACGCTGCCCATACGAGACAGCTGTCGGGGGCTGCTAGAGGGAATCACCCCTGGCCCAAGGTGCCCCCAGTTTTCCGTTCCCATGCATTTCTTATACCGCTACCCCCATAAAGCGGATTCTTGCGAGACGCCTCTCCGATGGAGGGCTCCGCTCACTGGTTTGGATGGAGTGCCGAAGTGCCCCTTCACAGGCGCAATCGTCTTGTTTCACCCTGCTCGCGCGCCGTCTGGCGCAAGGCTCCTGACCTCACCTGGGGCCCTCTGGGCGTCGTGAGGGGTGCTCTGGCGGCCGCTGGGGCCTCCTTGGGAATCCTTAGACACCCTCGGCCAGGGGCACCTCTGGCGACCACCGAGGAAGGCCGCCTGCCCAACAGCGGCCGCTGTCGGCCTTCGACAGCATTCGCTGTTGGGCCTCGTGCCCATTCTTTCTGGACCCACTTCGGGCGTCCAGGTCCGAGGACGAGCAGTGCTCACGGGTAGGGCAGTCTCCGTCGCCCTGTTGTGTGGTTCTTCACAGGGGCCTCAGAAGCACCAGTACCTCGTCATAGGCGCTTGGTCCGCGTGGGGGGTCTGAGCCTCTGCCTGCAGGACCCCCCTCTGCCATTTTCATAGATTTACAGACTCTGGAGCACTCCTGGCCACACGAACACCCAACTGGCCACGCAAACACCTTCACTCCCTCCTCCTCCGTGGTTCTTCATGGGAGCCTCAGAGGGTCCCATAGTTCCTTGCGTTTTTGGGGGTCTCGTCCGCCTATCGTAGGATTTGGTCGACATCTGGACGACATCATCTGGATGGTTTTTTGACGACATCTGGGGGCAAGGGCGAAGAGGGGTGTCAACAGAGGCCCCCATGAAGGCTCATCCAAGCCTGGATGATGCTGAGGAACAAGTTTTCCTCCAAGGACGAGCAGTTCTCCGACGAGAGCGCCCGCGCTTCGCCATCGATTTTCTCCTGAGCCCCGGCCCTGCGCTCGCGGCGCGCACCAAGGGGGCGGCGCGGCTGGGGGCGGCCCTCTGAGCAGGCGGGGGAGGGCAGCCTCCAAGAAGCAGGTGGCTTCTCGCAAGCCCGCCCCGCTTCTAAGAAGCCCTCTCAGACGCCCCCGGCCCCCCAGGCCACAACGACGCCGACGACAACGACGACGACGAAGCCGCCGACGCCGACGCCGACGCCGACGCCGAGGCTGACGCCGACGTTGACGACGCCGACACCGACGACGACGATGACGGCGAGGACGACGACGAGCACCACGACGCCGACGCCGACCGACGCCGACGCCGACGCCGACGACGGCGCGGCCGACGACGACGACGACGGCCACGGCGATGACGACGACGACTGCGCTGCTGACGACGAACACGCCGCCGACGACGACGACGACGCCGCCGCCGCTGACGATGACAACGATACCGCCGACGACGCGAAGACGCCGACGCCGACAGCGACGACGACGACGACGCCCACGAAGACGACGCCGCCGCCGCCGACGACGACGACGACCACCATTCCGACGCCGATGCCAACGCCGACACCTACGGCGACGCCGCCGACGACGGCGATCACGACGACGACTCAGCCGACGACGACGACGACGATTACTGCGCTGCCGACGACGATGACGACGACCACGGCGACGACGACGACACCGACGCCGAGGCTGACGCCGACGCCGACGCCGACAACGACGCTGGCGACGACGCCGGCGCCGAAGACGACGCCGACGACGACGCCGACGACGCCGACGGCAACGGCGTCGACCACGGCGATGACGACGACGATAACTACAACTCCGATGCCGCCGATGACTTACACGTCGACAAGGGCACCATGATTCCGACGACGAGGCCGATGACCACGATGCCGACAACGACGACGCCGACGCCGACGCCGATGCCGACGCCAGCGCCGAAGACGATACCGACGACGACGACGACGCCGACGACGCCGACGACGACGGCGTCGACAACGGTGATGACGGCGACGACGAAAACTACAACGCCGGTGCCGCCGATGACTTTAACGTCGACAAAGGGCACCACGATTCCGACGACGACGACGCCGACGCCCACGACGCCGACGCTGCCGCCAACGACGCCGACGCTGACGACGCCGACGCCGAGGACGACGACGCCGCCGACGAGGATGACGTTGACCACGACGACGATGAGCTTCACGACGTCGACTACGCCGACGCCGACGACGACGACGACGACACCGACAACGACGACGCCGACCCCGACGACGACGATGCCGATGCTGACGACGCCGACGCCGAGGACGACGCCGCCGACGCCGACGACGACGACTTCGACGACGATGAGCACAACGACGTCGACGACGCCGACAACGCCGACGACGGCGGCGACAACGACGACGCCGACGCCGACGACGACGACGCCGACCATGACGACAGCGCCGACGCCGACGCCGACGCCGCCGACGACGACGCAGCCCACGACGACGACGCCGACCACGACGACGACGCCGGCGACGACTACGCTGACTCTGGCCCTGACGACGACGCCGACGACGGTGGCGACGACGCCGACGCCGACGTCGACGACGATGCCGACGACGAAGACGACGCCGCCGACGCTGACTCCGACGCCGTCGCCGACGTTGACGCCGACGAGGACGACGACGAGCACAACGACGCCAACCCCGACGCCGATTCCGACGCCGCCGACGGCGCCGCCGACGACGACGCCGGTGCCGCCGACGTCGCCGCCGATGGTGACAACGACGGCGCCGACAACGACGAAGACGACGACGCCGACGCCGACGTTGACGCCAACGACGACGACGCCGACGACGACGACGACATCAGCGACGACGACGACGACGACGACGGCGCCGCCGACGACGACCACTCCGACGACGACGACGCTGACGACGCCGACGACGACGACGACGACGACGACTACTCAGGGGCCGTCGCCGACGTCGACCACGACGACGACGATGGCCATGCCGACGACGACACCGACGACGACGCCGACAACGAGGACGACGACGACGAGAATCGCGACGACGACGAGCACCACGATGATGACGCCGTCGCCGATGCCGAGGCCGACGTCGCAGAAGACGACGACGCCGACCACGACGCCGACGCCGACGACGACGACGAGCACCACGACTCCGACGCCGACGCCAAGGCCGACGCCGATAACGGCGCCGCCGACGACGACGACGACGACGGCCACGGCGACGACGACGACTGTGCTGCCGACGACGCCGGTGCCGACGACGACGGCGCCGACGACGACGACGATGCCGACGCCGACGCCGACGCCGATGCCGACGCCGATGCGGACGCCGACGACGCTGGTGACGACGCCGCCGACGACGACGTCGACGCCGACGTTGATGCCAACGACGAGGCCGCCGACGACGACGCCGGCGACGACGATGATGCCAGCGACCACGACGACAATGGCGCCGCGGACGACGACGACCACACCGACGACGACGACGCCGACGCCGACGACGACGACCACTAAGACGAAGCCGCCGACGCCGAGGCCGACGCCGACGTCGACCACGACGACGACGACGACGACGATGGCCACGGCGACGACGACGACGACGACACTGACGACGACGACGCCGACAACGACGACGCCGACGAGCACCACGACGACGACGAGCACCACGATGATGACGGCGACGCCGATGCCGACTCCGTCGGCGACGCCGAAGACGACGCTGCCGCCGACGCCGACGATGACACCGACGACGACGCCGACGCCGACGGCAACGACGAGCACCACGACGCGGCGTCAACGCCAAGTCCGACGCCGATGACGCCGCCGCCGCCGCCGCCGACGACGACGACGACGACGGCCACGGCGATGACGACGACTGCGTCCGCCGACAACGACGCCGACGACAATGACGCCGTCGCTGACGACGACAACGATGCCGCCGACGACGAGCCAGACGCGACGCCGAGTCCTTCGACAACGACGACGTTGTCGTCGACGACGACGCCGCCGACGATGACGCCGACGCCAGCGCCGAGTCCGACGGCGACGCCGACGACGCCGCAGACTCCGATGACGACGACGGCGCTGACGACGACTCCGACGACGACGACGAGCACCACGACGACGAGGCCGATGGCCACGACTACGACAACGACGACGCCGACGCCGACGCCGACGGCGACGCCTGTCGACGCCGACGACGACGACGACTACGGCGCCGACGACGAAGATGTCGTCGACGACGAAGACGACGACGCGGATGCCGCTGACGACTTTCACGTCGACACAGAGCACCACGATCCCGACGACGACGCCGACGACGTCGACGCTCACGGCGCTGACGACGTCGCCGCCGCCCCGCCGCCGACAACGACCACGCCGACCATGACGACAGCGCCGACGCCGACGCCGACAACGACGACGACCACCACGCCGACGCCGACGCCGACGCCGACGCCGAAGACGACGACGCCGCCGACAACGGCGACCACGACGACGACGCCGCTGACGAGGACGACGTCACCGTCGCCGACGACGACGACCACGACGATGACGAGCATGACGACGCCGTCGCTGACGACGACGACCACGACGACACCGACGCCGAAGACGACGACGCCGCCGACGACGATCATGACGACGATAGCGACGACGACGAGTACCACGACTACGCCGACGCCGATGCCGACGACGACGCCGATGCCAAGGACGACGCCGACGACAACGACGCCGCCGACGCCGACGACGACCACTACGACGACAAGCAACACGACGCCACCGACGCCGACGCTGACGACGATGACTTCCACGACGACGTCGACGCGGACATTGACGACCACGACGTTGATTGTGACGACGACGCCGACGATGGTGACGACCACTACGACGAAGCCGACGACGCCGGCGACGACTACGAGGACGACGACGACACCGACGACGACCATGACGCTGACACCGACGACGACGACGCCGACGACCATGACGACGACGAGCACCTCGACGACGGCGACGAGCACCACGATGATGACGCCGACGCCGATGCTAACGCAGACGACGCCGTCGACGGCAACTCCTGACGCCGCCGACGACGACGACCCTGACAACGGCGAGCGCCGCGACGACGACGACGAGTCCGACGACGACGACGCCGCCGCTGACGACGACAACGCCGACGCCGACGCCGGCGCCGACGACGACGATGATGCCGACGACGACGACGACGATTCCGACGACGACGTCGGGGCAGCCGACGACGACAACGACGACGGCACCGACGACGACGCCGGCGACGACGACGACGACGACCTCGACGAGGATGACTACCACGACGACGACGACGACGCCGCCGCCGACGATCACGACGCCGCCGACGCCGACCACGACGCCGACGCCGACGATGACGACGACGACGCCGCCGACGACGACAACGACGACGACACCGACGACGACGCCGACGACCCCGACGACGCCGACGACGACAACCCTGGCGACGTCGACGACGCTGGCGACGGCAACGACGACGCAAGCGCTGACGACGACGTCCTCGCTGACGGCGAGCACCACGACGACGACGCCGACGACGCTGACGACGCCGACGACGGAGCCGCCGCCGACGACGACGACGCTGATGACGACGCCGGCGACAACGCCGACGCCGACGCCGACGACGATGACGAGGACGATGCCGACCACGACGACGCTGGGCACCATGACGACACCGACGCCGATGCCGACGCCGAGGACGACGCTGACGAGCACCACAACGACGACGACGCCAACGCCGACGCCGACGCCGACGCCGACAAAATCGCCGATAACGACGACGACCACCACCACCACTACGACAAAGTCGACGACGACGCCGACGACGCCGACGACGACGAGACCCACGACGACGACGCCGACGACGACGACCACGACCACGACGACGACCACGACTACGAGGACAACCAACGACGACGACGACACAGATGCCGCCGACGACGACGACGCCGACGTTGACGCCTACCCCGACGACGACGACCATGCTGCCGATAACGACGACGACGACGATGCCGAAGACGGCGACGACGACGTCGACGCCGACGACACTATGACGACACGGATAACGACGCCGACGACGATGACGACGGCCATGACGAC